GGGTTGGGGTAAAAACCGACTCAACCCAACCCACGCCCACCCCTAATTATGAAAATGAGGATTCTGAAGAACTGATTGTTAAAAACTACATAAAAATGATTGGCCAAAGTGGAAAAAAGTCCTACAAGTGGAATTGAATTCATTATATAAACGAAAAGTGTTTGGACCTGTTGTTCACCTGAAAATGTAATCTTTTTGGATATAAATGTGTTTTTGTTCGAAAGAGAAATTAAAATAATGAAATTATAAAATACAAAATTCTACTCGTAGCTCAATGTTTCTTACAAAAAATCAAGAATTAATTATGAAGAAATATATTCTCTCGTAATGGATACCTTCACTTTTATATTCTTAATTATTTTGACCGTGTCACAAAGATTTGACATGCGCCTTATAGATATAGTGATTGTCTATTTGTATGATTCACTTGATAGTGACATATATATGAAAGTCCCTAAAAGACTTAAAGCGTGAGGAACAAATGATACATGTCTGAGAACAATGTTCTCAATTAAATAGTAAAAATCATTATATGGATTGAAATGATTTGGACGCATGTGGTATAATTGTCTTAGCGAATCTTTGTTGAAGGAAGACTATAAAAATGATGATATTTGTCCATGTATTTTCATAAATAAAACAAAAATTTTGGATATTCAATTGTGATAGTTTATGTTGATGATTTAAATTTAACTGTAACTTTTGAAGAGCTCAACAAATATACAAATATTTGAAAAATCAATTGGAGATGAAAGATTTGGGAAAAATCAAATTCTGTCTCGTGTTACAGATTGAACATTTTCCAGAAGGATTATTTGTTTATCAATCTACATATATAGAAAAATCTTAAAACACTTTTATATAGATAATGCACATCCGTTGGCATCACTTATAGTTGTTAGATCACTTGATATGAAAGAAGATCAATTTCGTCCACTTGAAGATGGAGAAAATGTTCTTGATCCTGAAATATCATATCTTAGTGCAATTGGAGTATTAACTTTTCTTACAAACTGTACTTAACCCGACATGGCTTTTTCTGTAAACCTCATTGCAAAATATAGCTCTATACCAACATAAAGACATTGCAATGGTGTTAAACATATTTTTCGTTACTTGAAGGGTACTATTGATTTACGATTATTTTATTCTCAAAAGTCAAGATCTGTTTTAGTGGAATATACATATACAAGTTATCTCTCTGACCCACATAAATCTAAATCACAAATAGGATATGTGTTTACACGTGGAGGAACAACTATATTGTGAAGATCTATGAAGCAATTTTGATAGCAATATCCTCAAATCATTATGAAATTATTACAATTCACGAAGCAAATCGAGAATGTGTATGATTGAGGAACATGACTCATCATATCCAAATATCATGCGAATTAATTTAAACAAAAGAAAGTTCAACAATTTTGTATGAAAACAATGCTACTTGTATTGCACAATTCAAATGAGGTTATATCAAATGTGATATGACAAAGCATATTTCTCTAAAATTCTTTCTTACACATGATTTTCAAAAGAATGACGGTATCGATGTTCAACAAATTCATTCAAATGACAATATGACTGATTTATTTTAAAAAGTACTGCCAACATCTACATTTAAAAAATTAGTTCACAAGATTAGAATATCTTGACTCAAAGATTTTCAGTAATCAACATCAGGGTGAGTAACTATACTCTTTTTCATTCACTTAGATTTTATCTCACTGTGTTTTCATAGCAAAGTTTTAATGAGGTTGCATTTATCTTTAATATTCCAAAATAATTGTACTTTTTTTTTCCTTCGTCTAATTTTTTGTCCCATTAAATTTTTATCAAACAAGGTTTTAACGACGCAGATATTTTGTAATGTGTCACTCGATGGGGAGTGTTGTAAATTGTAAGTTTATTAGTGGATGACAATTGTATCCTTACAGCCCTATAAATATAAAGTTTTTGTTTTCATTGTAATTCATACAAGTCTATGAACTTTTATTGTCTCTTCATTTTCTCTCTTTTCACAACACATATCTCAATTTTCTACTAGCCACGCTTATTCATAGATTTCTAATAAGATTTTGAAGGTAATTAAGTCATTTCTGTTAACAACACATGACAGATATTTATTAGTTGGGCTTCTAACTGATTTTGTTATCTTTTCATGTTTTATTCACTAATTTAGACCTTATATATTCGATAAATTATTATTGGCTTGCTTTTCATATTTGAGGTCACGTGTGAGATTCCACGCTATTAATGTTCACCAACTTATTTCTGAATTCGTTCTGGATTCCTTGTCAATATTTATTAACAATGTGTGAGAGTGGTGAATTCATAAATTAAATTGAAGCTTATTAGAACAAATGAGACAAATTAAAAGTTTAATGATTTAATATAGATGGCAAATGAAATTTAGTGCATGTCTAATATAATTTATTTGGGAATAATGAGTTATGGAATAATATTTTTTGGAAAATGTATGGTTAAAAAGTAAATAATTTTTATTGATTTGTATGTAGAATATTTTATTGTGTAAATGTATGATGGAGAAATGATACCGTAGCAAATAATTTAATTTTTTAAAGAAGGACAAACATGGCCTTACAAGATTCTTATTTCTCTTCATTGGACCAACCAGACCGTAGGCCGCCTGCATTTTTCTTCATTAAATATATGATGGAGAAATGATATCGTAGCAAATAATTTAATTTTTTAAAGAAGGACAAACATGGCCTTACAAGATTCTTATTTCTTTGCATTGGACCAACCAGACTGTCGGCCGCCTGCATTTTTCTTCATTTCTACACCTTTGTGTGAAGTCACAGCTACTCGCATTTAAATAATCGATTGACCAATCGTGCGATCATAAGCTATGATAAAACAATTCTTCCAGCTAAAAAGGGTAATCTCCACAAATAAGTAGTGGGAAATCCTCTCTTGAATCAGAATATCCAAGAAAAATACAATGGAAAACCTCTCAACGGTGGTGTTGATTTTGGTTCTCTTAGTGAACTTCCACTGCACTGCCGTTTTTGGTCATTTGAAAAGTGTAGTTGGTAGTGCAGCTGGTGCTATAGGAGAACAGCCTCTATCAAAGATTGCAATCCATAAAACCACACTTGCTCTTAGTGGTAATGCCTCCATTCAAGCCACCCCTCTTCTTCTTGGACTCAAGGTAAGCAACTTTTTGTTAGTAATCGATAATAGATAGTATCATGACTTGCTCCACAAGTGCGTTGCTCCTCGAGTTGAGTTAAAATTTGAAAATCGATTTGCAATTTTTGGTTAGGGGTAACTAAAAGTTCACACTGAGTTTTTGAATGTAATTAATTATAGTAGAGGCCAATGTTTTTGTTTAATATGGTAACAGGGTGAAGACACTGGATGGGTCGTTGTGGATTTTGTAAACGAAGAACCTTCTAATGATGACTGGATTGGAGTTTTTTCTCCAGCAAAATTCAAGTAATCTCCTGTTACAGTTTTATTATAGCCTTCTGGCTATTTCTAGTTTGTCCGCGATATCATACTTACCCATTGACCTTGGTTTTTCGAGTATTCTGTTCCTTCAATAGGTTTAGAGACAAGATCATGCATATGTTAGCTGCAGAATTTGAGCTCTTCGTGTTTTGTATTTACATAGTTGATTAAGAACTGTTGGGAAACTTGACAGTGCATCGAATTGTAAAGTGGAAAATAACCGTAGAGTACAAGCTCCATATACATGCTCCGCCCCAATTAAGGTGTGTACAAAACATGTCATAATACTAAAGATTCAGAAAATGTAACAGGTTTTTTGCTTTTTCTAACTGATGTCCTGCAATGGGATTGTTACAGTACAAGTATGCAAATCACTCGAATCCTGATTACACGACAACTAAGAAAGCTTCAGTAAGGTTCCAGTTGATCAATCAGCGAGAAGATTTCTCCTTTGCATTGTTTGCGGGCGGATTGTCAAATGTATGTAGTCGTTTTTTTCTCTTATTCTTGAGTTCTTTTTACTTTTTGCAAGGATTGCTTTGATGATACAAAAATGCATCACGGTAACTGGACATAGAAATGATCATTGCAGTTCAAATTCATTTAAAATCCAACTTAGCCAGATTTAAATTGGACACAAAAAACTAAAAATAGCTTATGTTCTCTTCCTATTCATGCTGGTATATTTTCTTATGTTTATTTTTATCCTGTTTCCTGATTATTAAGGAATATTGATGGCACTGTCACATGGACTAAATCCATTCAATTCCATTGCAGCCGATACTCAAAGCAATATCTAATTTCATAGCTTTTGCAAATCCTAAAGCACCAGTTTTTCCTCGCCTTGCTCAAGGGAAATCTTGGGATGAAGTAAGCTATCTGGATTGATATTAGCCAATAATTATCTTTTAAGGGGTTGTTTCATCCTGTATAGTTCAAATTTGACTTCAACATGAATCTTTGTTTGTTACCATATAGAAGTTAGATTTGCTGCTATCTTAAAAGCTTTTGTTGGTCGATTACAAATTTTTAATCCTAATTTTATGTAATTGCCTATTTTTGTCCTGACACTTACAGCATGTTTGCTGGGAGAATTGGATAGTATTATAGAGAAAGAAAAGGAACGTAAAATCTTGTTTATTATTTTGCCGAGTCATATCCAATAATGCACCCAAACATGCCATTAATGTCTTAATAGACCTTACTCTCTTGCAGAACTGAACTATTATTTTTCTTTTTCTTCACCTGAATTGCACTTTGCAGATGACAGTTACATGGACAAGTGTTTATAATATAGATGAAGCCATTCCTTTCGTGGAATGGGGTTGGAAGGGTCAAGAACAAAAGCGCTCACCGGCTGGAACATTAACATTTGAGCAAAACAGCATGTGCGGTATGATTTAACTTTACTCACAAATTCTGGCTTATGAAGTTATTTGGTTGCTGGACTAATGATACTCGTGAAGAATTTTTCTTAATTAAATTTTGTTTTGGAAGTTATGTTTGTTGGATAGGAATGTAAATTATTAGATCAATAACCAGCTTAGCTCCAAATATTTTCTTAATGGGAATTAATTTATGTTTCAACATATTATACACCCAAAATTGCAAATAGATGGACACTTCCAATTTCTTAGGGAGCTTGATGTCCAATTCTATATTAAGATTTTTGTTGGCTATGTTTTCTCTCTGAATCTACTGGCATTTTGCCTCTTGGTTTAATGTTAAAGAATGAACGTTAATTAAATCTATAAGATTGTCTCTTTTTCAAGATATCTATGCATTTTATTAAATGCAAAAATATATTGTTAATGGACTGCATCTAATAAGGATCCTAAAGTTGGTTTGTAGGTCCACCTGCTAGTACAGTTGGCTGGCGTGACCCTGGTTTCATACATACGAGTCACTTAAAGGATTTGTGGCCAAATATTGAGTAAGTTTCCTAAGGTTCGATGTTTTGGAAATACATAAATCTTTGCAGGCATCCATTATTTAGAAATTCTTGACTGAGGCCGCAATTTTTTTTTTTTCAGACATACGTACAAGTTGGGTCACCTATTAATTAATGGCTCCATTGTTTGGAGCAAGATGTACTCATTCAGATCGTCCCCATATCCGGGACAAGACTCACTGCAACGTGTAATAATATTTGGTGACATGGGCAAGGTACATCGAGCCAAAAAAAAAAAAGAAGAAGCATGTCTTCCCTTTCCTCTATCCCAACTAAATAAAATTAGTGAACTAAGATAGAAAGACTGTATACCATTCAAACAATTTGAAAAGATTTGAGTCAAATGAAGTGATAGGGTTGCTTGCGAGAAATGAGGTCTAACTAATTTTCTGGTTTTTTCAAGCTGTCGTGTGATCATTGTGAACTACACATTTCTGTAAGTCTTTGGTATCAAATGCTGAGGTCGGCATGTTAGAAGTCCTCCCAAATTCTCATTGTGTGCTCAGACCCTTAATTTATTTAGATGATTTTTCAGGCGGAACGTGATGGTTCAAATGAGTACAGCGATTATCAACCTGGCTCTTTGAATACCACTGATCAACTCATCAAGGATCTCAATAACTTTGACATAGTTATGCATATAGGAGATCTCCCATATGCAAATGGCTATATCTCACAATGGGACCAATTCACAGCACAGGTGGAACCCATAGCATCAACTGTCCCTTATATGATTGCAAGGTGTGTTTTTAACATGTTATAGCACGTTGCATTATTTTTAACTTATTTGCAGCGTGTAATAACAATTCATTATACAGTGGTAATCACGAGCGTGACTGGCCTGGGTCAGGATCCTTTTATGACACTCCAGATTCTGGTGGTGAATGTGGTGTGCTAGCTGAGACCATGTTCTATGTTCCCGCAGAAAATAGAGCCAAGTTTTGGTAACTAGTTTTTTTACTAAGTAAAATACTGGAGTTGGAAAAATGATTATAGTTGGGGCTGCATCTTGTATGTCAATCATATCAGATGTCAAAAATTGACTCAAACTTATTTTACAGGTACTCAACAGATTATGGTATGTTCCACTTCTGCATAGCCGATACTGAGCATGATTGGAGGGAGGGAACTGAGCAGTACAAGTTTATCGAACGTTGCCTTGCACAAGCAGACAGGCGAAAACAGCCTTGGTTGATCTTTGCTGCTCATAGGGTCCTTGGTTATTCTTCTAACGACTGGTATGGATCAGAAGGTTCATTTGAAGAGCCCATGGGAAGGGAAAGCTTAGAAAAGCTTTGGCAAAAGTACAAGGTGGACATTGCGTTCTTTGGCCATGTCCACAATTATGAAAGAATTTGCCCAATTTACCAGGTAAATCTTTGTGGCATGTTTGGAATGCTAGGCTAGATTACACTAGATAGAATTAATGACAAAAAAAGCTAAATATCTTCTAGCATACTATGCAGTACTATTTAATACTGTGTAGTGACCCTGTTTCCATATGCTGTAGGAATTTTTTTTCCTGACTAGGTTTGCGTCAAATATCTTTATCTGAGAGATCAAGCTTTTACTGATGGATCTTGAATTTTGCCTCGTACTGAAGATTTCTTGAATCGTGCAGAATCAGTGTGTGAATTCTGAAATATCACACTACTCTGGCACTGTGAATGGGACAATACACGCTGTTGTTGGTGGAGGAGGGAGCCATTTGTCGGAGTTCAGTCCCCTTGAAACCGCTTGGAGTCTCTATAAGGATTATGATTTTGGATTTGTCAAATTGACTGCATTTAACCACTCCTCCCTTCTTTTCGAATACAAGAAGAGCAGCGATGGAAAGGTATATGACTCTTTCACTATCTCAAGAGACTATAAAGATGTCTTAGCTTGTGTGCACGATGGCTGTGAAGCAACCACTTTAGCAACTTGAATCTTACATGCTATCAAAGGATGCCATTCACAAAATGTTCGCTACAACAGTTCTAGTTGGTATATTTTTTGCAATAAGGCATCGCAGTAATGTAGAGCACTTTAAGTTGTGATGTGTTATTAATTTCACTATGTTGTGTCATCAACTTCTCATTACTCTCATACCAGTGAGAGTTTTCGAGTATGAATATTAAGTTAATTTGTGGCGAGACAATTTTTTTATGTTCAATAGTCATGCAATATTAATTGCACTTTGCTTTGTTGTCAAGTTCTCATCATTCTCAGACCATGAATATGAATATTGTTGGAAGAACAAACCAAATTAACTATTTGTCAGTGTAAGAGTAGTGCATGTATTTTAACTTTTTAGTTACAAGTAGTAAGAATTTAATGTCCATGCTTTATACATCAATCATCTATGGAGAATTATGAAATAAAATAAGTTCTTGATAAATGTACTAGGATATATACATGCTTCGAAAATCCCATAAAAATAAAGGTTTCTCTCGAATTATATTGGAAATTCACAAAATTATTCTTCAAACTTCAATTCCTAACAAAACGATATAAAGCTCATGTTCGCATCTAATATATATCTCAGACACACCAAGTAAATTTAATTTGTAAATAACAAGGATATTTTGACATCTAATCACATATGAGAATTTCGAATTCTTGCAATAATATTTTTCAACCTTTAATTCAGTCTATATTATCTCATTTATCCCGCCTTCACGACCTATTGCATAGTACCTCATTTTTTATTTCTATTAGATATTACTTATGTTATTTCGTAAATGTACATGGCATAAAATGATCGTACAAGGACACAATTGGAGTCACGCAGTCAATCAAAATGACATCACTAATAATTGCCTTATATGAGCAAAGCTATCATTCTCCAATTTCCATCTGGATGAAATCGAACGTATGGGACTGGGGGAAAAGAACAAAGCCTGGTGGAGCCAACCAATTGAACTCTCATAATCGAATATAAATCCATACTTACTTAACCTAGAGTTGTTTGGAACGATAGTAGAAGCCACACACAAGAAGTGAGAGTATCTTAGCCCCTCAGAGAAAGCTATACAAATATCTTATTAATCACATGGCAGAGTGAGGAGAGTGACAACGTAGAAGATTCAAATAATTATAAACCAAATATGGAAACTGCAATTGTGAAGCAGCCAGGCTAACTGAATCATTGGATAGCTCATGCAAAGATACATGCCATGTATAGCAGCCGAGAGTTGAGCAAGACATGCAGCTGATTTTATTCACTCAGTCAAAACCAGAATCATGGGACACTTCATGCAGCTGATTTCATTCCTGTAATTTAGTAATTGTTTCCTTATAAAGCAAATGTATTGATTTATTTCCTTTGTAATACACAAACAATTGTATACATTCAATATAAATACAATTCACTCTCCCATGAATTATGGGTGGTGAGACTTCTGAACATCGGTCATTTATCTCATTTTCTTCTTGGTATCAGAGCCCAAACACTGTGAGAGCTACCTTCTTCTTCTTCTTCTTCTGCAATTATGTCTTTAGTCTCTTTGAATGTGGCAACTTTGTCACACTTCGCTTGAAAGCTGAAAATTATCTTCTTTAGCTAGAGCAAGTACTTGCTCTGGCTGATGAATGTGGGCAACTTTGTCACACATCGCTTGAAAGCTTAAAATTATCCTCTGTGGCAAAAGCAAGTACTTGCTCTGGCTGAAAGCCAAGAACTTGTGGCTTATCTCACTGGTGAGGCAACAGCCCCTGAAGCTGTACTTCCACTTCAAGAGGGTTCAGATCGACTAGCTATTGCTAACCTAGAATTTCTCAAATGGCGAACTGCCGATCGTTTATTGAGGGGATGGGTCATCGGTACACTATTTGAGGAGGCACTTGGCATTGTAATTGGGTTGGATACATCAGCACAAGTATGGACTGCTCGCAAGGAAGCTTACGCTCAATCATATCAAGAATGCCAATTTCAGCTTACATAGCAACTCAATCATATGAAAAAGGATCAAGAAATGTCTCTCAATGACTATCTCCGTAAGTTCAAAGGGGTATGTAACAGTCTCTCTGCTATTGGATTTTCTGTTGATGATAAGACAAAGGTTTTTTTCTCTATTGAATGGTCTGGGAGCACGATATGAGCCATTCACTACATCTATGTTCACGCCCCCAATGCCAAACTGTAAAGCAAAATCTCTTGCTTTGCACCAAGATACCGGGCTCAGTATTTCCCAATCGACACCACAAAAGAAAACCCAAACCAAAAGCCAAAAACAAAAGACCGGTTGCTCTCAGTTTCTGCCCTCTAACTAGAACTGAAAATGGNGAATGGTCTGGGAGCACGATATGAGCCATTCACTACATCTATGCTCAAGCCCCCAGTGCCAAACTGTGAAGCAAAATCTCTTGCTTTGCACCAAGATACCGGGCTTAGTATTTCCCAATCGACACCACAAAAGAAAACCCAAACCAAAAGCCAAAAACAAGAACAGCCACCAAGGCTATAGAACGGTGAGGGAAAAATAGCACAGTAGAGAGCACTAAGCAAAGAAGGCAAAGATCACACAGCAAAGCTAAGAAAACCGCTGCTATTTTTCTTCTCAAGTAAAAGGCTAAATTGAATTCCTCACTTAAGCACAATAGTGGACACGGTAGATATAGGTAGAATTAGGTATGGGCTAGGTCACAAAGATTAGGGCCCAATAGGGAATAAGTTAGTGGGCTATTAAACCTAAAGAGCCATCCATGTCTTGGGTTGGGCCATGAGCAGCCCTAATTAAATTAGGTTGCTTTAAATGGCCCAAGTGACAATGTGGTTGGTTTACCAAATTGTGGTATCGATGTTGGTTCAGTCATTTGGTCGATGCCGACTGAAATACACAATTCTTACATTATTGCCCGGAGAGGTCGTTTGACAAGAATTTGCCTAACAAACCTCCACTTTGGTGTCAAAGGACCTGCAAAGAAGAAGAAATTACTAAGCGTTAGTAATTGTCCTTAAAAGGAGAACCAATAAAATTGGAAATCATTTACCTCCCCCGATGTTTAGAAGATCTTTGCAACTTCTAAACTTCACTAAAGGTAGCACCTTAGTACCCATGTCCCAGGGATTATATTGTGTGTGAAT